TTGCACAACGTTTCGAACCTCCATGGTTCATTCTCAAGTGAACAGATCTTACAATACTAATTGATTTTATACCCGCACTGGGTCAGGTGATAATACAATAAAGGTGAAAACATGGGGGGATACATAAGGGATAAATGTGAGGTGAAACATAGGGGTAACTGCAGAAGGCTTATTGGCCCATACGAGGCAGCTCCTATCTAAACACAAAGATTAATCCAGTGTAATTGGCCTATTATGTTGGACATTGTCTTCTGTGTTGGCATCGATATGTTCTTGTCTTGTCCTTACTCTCATGGTGGGTAGAGTAAATAGTTCCGTGATTTGGGTGTTCATGGTAGGTCGCTCTATTCTTATGTGAATTGCCTCAAGAATTTGTAATCTTCTTGCATCTTGGGTTTTGTCTATTATGCAGGTATTCTTGTTCAACATTTCTCTGGTTAGAGTAATGTCATGGGCTTGTCTCATGTGATTCCTAGGGGCTACGGATTCAATCCGTAGATCTGTTCACTTGAGAATGAACCATGGAGGTTCGAAACGTTGTGCAAATTATATAAATAAGTGTAATACACTCTATAGTAAATCACTTCTTTTCTTCACCTTAAAAGTACGAAAATGAGTTTTGGAGAACTCCTATTTCAATTAAGCCCTGATGCTAAGAAAATAGTTAGAGGGATAGAAGTCATGTGTATTTTATATATATAAAACGCTGAACTGTAATGTCAATCCTGACCTTAAAAGCTTCCTAGAAGGTTGTAACAGATCCCACGAGCACCACATCAGAAACAAATACCTATTTGATATTCCACGAGTACGACTTAATCAAACTAGAAATGCTTTACAAATCAAGGTACCCAGAATGTGGAATGACCTTCCCAATTATGTTAAAGACTGTACCTCTCCCAACCAGTTTAAGATAAAAACTAAGTACTACCTAATTAACTCCATGTAACCTACCTCAACCCCAAAATGTCAACCTATGTCTTCTATTTTAAACAATGAGAATGTTGACCCAATTGTATTTTTGCTAATTTTTCTGCCATGTTCCTCCCCTTTTTTTATTTTCTCAACACAATTTATACTTTAATCTCAATTAGTATTAAGATTTAGTCTTAGTGTTTTTCCTGCCCGAAACGCTTTGCGTAATAGTGGCTTTAGGCATTGTATGTACTAGCTCTATCTATAAATCCATCAACGTTTTGTATCTCACCTTGTATGTATGTACTTTACCTGAATAAATATTTGATTTTATTTTTCTGCCCTCTGTAATCCTATTTTGCGCTGCCGATCACAATAGTGTCTGTGGCACAGTGGTAACACACTCGTCGCCCGGCACTTCGCGAGCGATTTGTCCTGGGTTCGTTTTGGAGGGTCGAAATAGCCTAAGCTACTTTATCCCTTTGAGATGTATTTTATTGTTTCAATAAACGTACTTGAACTTAAACCTAGGTTCGTATCTTGGCCGGGGAGGATTGACCAGGCGCCATGCCCTTAAATGTAGCCTTTGTTCACCCAGCAGTGAATTGAAATTGAAATGCCAGCAGGGAATGGGTACCGTTAATCGATTTGGCGGGTCGTATTCCGGGGGAAATTATTAGGATTAAGGACCTGCCCGAAACGCTATGTGTGCTAGTGGCTTTACAAGAATGTAAGCACTCTTGTATATGTAAATAAAACACATAAAAAAATAATATGGGAGTTCACTCAGTAACTACCCACCTCCGACAACAACAGTCAACCACACATTAATAATAATAATAATAATAATAATAATAATAATAATAATAATAATAATAATAATAATAATAATAATAACTGGAACCAATAATTAACTGGAACTCCATGGTCAGAGTAGATAAAACCGCCGTATCTGAACTAGGAAGTGGACAGCCCGCTAGTGATAAGAAGGTGGAGGTACCAACGCGCGCACGCCCCCACATACACTTGTAGTGGAGATAAATCTACCACGCGATATGAGATTAATTAACAAGATAAACGGATCGGCGGTTCACAGAGGTGGCACAAGTGCCGCCCACGGCACCCAGCAGGCGGTAGAGGAGGTGCCTCATGACCGGCCGCCGTCGAGAGGGGCGCGCCCGTTCGAGGTTCCGCGCCCCTTTGAGGAGTTGGGTGACCAGGAACGTCTGCGTGGGGTCCGTTTGTCCGTGGAGCTTGTACACGAAGGCGATCGCCCCGAGGTACCCCTGCAGCGTGCCACATGCCAAACCCCGGGAGAGAAGAGATTGTAAAACGCGTATGTGTTCCCCTGATGACCAATCCACACACTAGAAAATGAAGGGACGACGACGTTTCGGTCCGTCCTGGACCATTCTCAAGTCGATTATCCTTGACAACGCAAGCGGGAGAGATACTGTTATACGAATGGTAGACTTGCTATGGGGGAACTAGTACTATTAAGGGGTAAGGGTAGTTAGAATACAGAGTTATCAAATACGGGAGAACTAAAAGGCCCGGACCCCAAAATAAACTATCCACAGTAATAATAACTTGCTACTAGACCATGTCAGACTAGAGGTTGATCATAGCACTCCCACACAGGAAGAAGGAATACTCCGTTACTAACTTACTTATTTATTAACCCCTTAACAACCCCCCATATACACTCACACCAATAACAATAATAATAATTACTTTACCACACTATCTTACGTTAAAAGCCACTTGAGGGCTAAAACTTCCACTTGAGGAACCCAGGGTCGTAACAGATACATAAAAATTTACATGTGGAAAATAGTAGAGGGGCTAGTCCCAAATCTGCACACAGAAATAACACCACATGAGACCAGAAGGCATGGCAGGATGTTGAAAATACCCCCGTTGAGTACAACGTTTTGAACATTTGCAAATGTACATAGAACATTTGCATAATAAGCAAATGCTCGTGTACATAACAAGCAGAGGTGCAACAGGTACTCTGAGAGAGAACTCTATCAACATCAGAGGCCTGAGACAGTTCAACACGCTTCCACTACACATAAGGGGCATAACTGGCCGACCTCTCACAGTGTTCAAGAGAGAACTCGATAAGCACCTCCAAAGGATATCTGGTCAACCAGGCTGTGATTCATATGTCAGGCTGTAAGCAGCCGCGTCCAACAGCTTGGTTGACCAGTCCAGCAACGAGGAGACCTACCTGGTCGACGACCGGGCCGCGGGGACGCTAAGCCCTGAAAACACCTCAAGGTAAGGTTCCCTATTCTGTATGACAGATTACACAGTGTAGATAAAAAAAAACTAGCTATACGTTCATCTAATATTCCCATCTCACAGGATGGTTAGTCATACATCAATCATACTTGATGCTTTTATACTTTCTATATACTTATACTTACTTGTTATACTTTACTTTTATAGTTTCTTACATTGTATTTTAATACTTTCTTACAATGTGCCTGTAAACATGTTGCTAGATTTTTTTTTTTTTTTTTTAGATATATACAAGAGTTGTTACATTCTTGAACAGCCACTAGTACGCGTAGCGTTTCGGGCAGGTCCCTCTCCGCCGCGAAGAATCGTTAAATTCTTTAAATTATAAGTACTTCTTTAAATTATATGTTAGATTAAGGATCTGCCCGAAACGCAATGCGTGCTAGTGACTTTAAAATAATGTAAAACGTCAATGCTCTGAACATCTTTATCATTGTGATCATTGCTGTCTTCTTATATGTGCTGTCAATCTGCTGTATGGTGTCTATTAATCTTGTTTAAATTACCAATCAAGCTGTCAATGTAATCAATCAGAGCATTAATATACCAATGTGCTTTAATATACTTACTAATCTCTCTCATCTCATTTTTTTCTTGCAATGTATTTGTTATCATTTTATTAATTCTGATAGAATTTACCTACTTAAAATTATCTGTTAGATTAAAGGACCTGCCCGAAACGCTGCGCGTACTAGTACTCACCTAATTGTGCTTGCGGGGGTTGAGCTTTGGCTCTTTGGTCCCGCCTCTCAACTGTCAATCAACTGGTGTACAGATTCCTGAGCCTACTGGGCTCTATCATATCTACATTTGAAACTGTGTATGGAGTGATGTGAGGTTCAGCTCCTTTAGCCTTTCCTCGTAGCTCAATCCTCTCAGTTCCGGGACGAGCCTGGTGGCATATCGCTGAATCTTCTCTAACTTTGTCTTGTGTTTAACTAGGTATGGACTCCAGGCTGGAGCTGCATACTCCAGGATTGGTCTTACATAAGTGGTATACAGGCTTCTGAAAGATTCCTTACACAAGTTTCTGAAGGCAGTTCTTATGTTGGCCAGTCTAGCATATGCCGCTGATGATATTCTTTTGATGTGGGCCTCTGGGGACAGGTTCGGTGTGATATCAACCCCCAGATCCTTCTCTCTATTTGATTCTTGCAGGATTTCCCCTCCCAGATGATACCTTGTGTTCAGCCTCCTGCTCCCTTCGCCTAATTTCATCACCTTACACTTTCCAGAGTTGAACTTCAGCAGCCATTTTCTAGACCATTCCTCCAGTTTATCCAGGTCATCCTGTAGTCTCTGTCTTCATCCGTCTTGATTCTTCTCATAATTTTTGCATCATCAGCAAACATCGAGAGGAATGAGTCTATACCCTCTGGAAGATCGTTCACATATATTAGAAACTTTGGCTTTATATTAGAAACTAGTTGGCTTTAACTTTGGCTTTGTATTAGAAACTTTGGCTTTATATTAGAAACTAGTGGCTTTACAAGAGTGTAAATACTGTACTATGCTATGTATTCTCACAAACCCAATGTACCTTCTTGTATATAAATAAATAAATAAATAAATAAATAAATAAATAAATAAATAAATAAATAACATGGAATCAGGGGAGCAAATACCAGCGGCCTCAATACAAAAACAAATAAACTCTGACTAAACATAGGATGGTTAGTCATACATGGAATCAGGAGAAAACATGAAATGCTGGAGTTATGCTCTATTATATAGCCTCTACTATAGCACAATCTGGGATATAGTATTACAAGGTGGAGAAGGTTCCGGGAGGAGGGGAGACTGCGTGACGTCCCGGACGGCTCTGCAGCCACGGCCACTGTCAGTGTACACAGGACCCCGGCCCGTGACGCCTCGCTCCTCGCCTCTATACTTCGCCATCATATTTTTAACCTCTTAGCAGTTGTTTTAGGTTTGTAATTCGAGGTTAGTTGATGATTTAGCGTGCATTTAATATAGGACTTTGTGTTATTACTGGATATGATGAACATTGTATTTCCGGAAGCTGCGTACGTCATGATATGTACCTGGACGTCATGTGGCAAGTGTCACATGATGTGTATTGAATATCCTGTTTATCCAGTCATGACACGAGTTGTCACCGTAATGTATGTGAAGCTACGACTCTGTCACGAATGTTTCTTTAAATTGTATTCTTGTCCCGCACTGTCCTGGTGGTCTTGGGCAAGACGCGGTCAAGTGGGTATTTTATTGAACGTGTATGGTACAGGGTATGTTTGTAAGGTGACCGTTCTGTTTCGTGGTGAAGTGTTTCAGACGTTGTTGGGTCGCTGACTCTAATCCTGAGAATGTATAGGACTGGGTGCAGACACTTGTGAGCAGTGACAGCTTTACAGCTATGACAGCTATGAGTTATGTGTGTGTGTGTGTGTGTGTGTGTTTAGGGGGGAAAGGGTTAGTCGGCTCACACACTTGCGTTCCCACTCCCCGAATTCTAATAATAATAATAATAATTTATTTAGGAAAAGTACATACATAGTTGCAGAGTTACAGTACATGTACATTGATTTAAAGATAGAGGTAGTACATACAATACCTAAAGCCACTAGTACGCATATCGTTTTGGGATAATGTTAAGATCTTGTAGTTTAGGTTTGGTTGGGTTAGGTTTGGGTTGGGTTAGGTTTGTTAGGTTTTAAAATCTGCTGGTGAAATATGAGGATGTGATTTTACCTGTATCCATTTCTAACTATGAATGACTAACGAACCCATGACAAAGCGCTTGCGGAACGCCAGGTGGTAAGACACTCGCCTGGTGTTCTGCGAGCGCTATGTCATGGGTTCGTATCCTGGCTGGGGAGGATTTACTGGGTGCAAATCCTTAACTGTAGCCTTTGTTTAACTCAACAGTAAAATGAGTACTTGGTTGTAACAACGATTCTTCGCGGCGGGGATCGTATTCCAAGGACTTGCCCGAAACGCTATGCGTACTAGTGGCTGTACAAGAATGTAACAACTCTTGTATATATCTAAAAAAAAAAAAAAAACTATCTAGTTTCCTGTTATTTGGTACAGCATGCCTGTACTTTGGCTTATCAAGGAACCTCTTGGCTAACTAGGTTAGATTGGATTAAGTATGATTAAAAACCTATTGCAAGACTTGGGTATGAAGAGATTGGAAGATGGTTCTCCAATTGCAAATGTTGATTAAATTATACAGGTCATGTTGGGCTGGAGATGGCTAGAATAACTAAAATTTGTGATGCAGATGGCTTTGCAGAAGTATGTCTTTTCATATAATGCTCTGTACCATTACATCGACTTCATAATATTGTTTTGTATGTGGATATTTTTCCTTTACGTTCATTTTTTGACACTCATGGATGTCAACCAACAAACTTAAACTAAACATAGAAGACCTACTACATTTTATTTGGTAGTAAGTCTTCAAATCAAATTCAACTTCAGATAGACAATGTTAACATTAGCAGTAAAAATGAGGGAAAGTTTCTTGACCTGTGTATAGACCAAGGAAGAGCCTGACGTCATGTTTATTTATAAATTTATTTATATACAAGAAGGTACATTGGTAACCCTCTGTTTAAGTCCCTGTTTAAATCATGCTAAACATACTCCACACAGTCTCATGCACTATTTACATATACAAAACCTAGTTCCTAAATGCTAATCTTAATCTGAAACTTTTGCTTGATAAGTGTAATAGAACCCATGAGCACCACACCAGAAATAATTATATTTTTGATATCCTCAAACTAAATTTGTGCAAACACTTCAAGCAAATAAAAGGATCCAGTCTATGGAGCTCGCTCCCTAATGAATTAAAAAATTGTCCAGCTAATGCCTTATTCAAAAGTAAAACTAAAAAATACCTAATTTCATCCTTATAGTTTCCTACCTTGTGCTTCAAACTCGTATCTTATACTGTACTACCCACTTCTCCAATATTAGTATTGTACTTTAAGATGTATCTTCACCAGTGTAATCACCTCAATCAGTTTATATTGTAGTTATATGTTGATGTACATTTTGCTTCAATGTACCTTTTCATCCTACCTGGTATGTTAGATTAAGGACCTGCCCAAAATACTATGCATGTTAATGGCTTTGCAAGAATGTAAAAATACCGATCCTGTGTAATTCACAAGCCCATTCTGTACCCTCTTGTAAATAAATATTTAATTTTGTACAAATGTTCATTTAGGCTATTAGGGTTATAGTTCCCCATTATTAGGCATAGGAAGTCTATTTCTCAATGAAGGTTCCCCTTCCTGTACCAACACCTGACCTTTACTATGCAACTCATGCTAGTTGCCCAACTCCTGGGTATCAGTTTGTGGCTAGGTGAACAAGGGGCATTAGGTGTAAGGTAATTATCAGAAGGTGCAATGGTAAGCCATTATGATTGTATAGCACATGGGAGGGATATGAGGTTAAGGATTCAAGATAGGACATAGGAAAGAATTTGTCCCAATCAAAACTTCACATTTTGTCCAGGAATACTAACTTGGGTTTGATCGGTTGTAAACCGACTGTGCTACTGATGCATGTATAAAAACTTGGTGGGGTTTCTTGTGCCAAATTTCAAACAAGATTACATTTTTTGGATACAGTAGAGTACATAATTACTTTTCTTGGACAGGAATCGTGTTTATTTACTTAAGAATTTTACCGAGGTCCCCTCCCAAGGTCAAACTAATGACTCGCCCCAGGATGCAACTCCATAACAGATACCTAACTCCTTGGTACCTATTTACTGTTAGATGAACAGAGGCATTAGGTGAAAGAAAATGTGCTCAACCAATTCTACCTTGCCTGAGAATCAAATCCAGTATACCTGACTGGGAGTCAAGAAAGAAGCCAACTATACTAAAAAGATCATGAACATTCAGTTTACCAAAACTTGGGCTTCCTATTCATACTTTTATTTTATATTTATTTAATTCTCAATTCACTGTCGGAGGACTGGAAGCCAGAGTGTATTCATACATGTTAGGCTTTTATTGAGGTCCCTCCCACTAGGATCAAATTACTGACCCCGCCCAGGACGCAACCCCACAAGAAGCTTGTAACACTGGGAGTGCACCCATGACTCGCCATGGGAATGTCCGGGTAAGATCAGCCTGTACCTCAGATTCAGCTAGAGTTAATTGAAATATCGTCTGGCCCACCCTAGTCAGCTTGTTCCCTGTTTATGAAAATTCTGATAGTCTTAGCACAACAACCTAATGATACATTTTGATTGCTTTTTTGTACGTCATGGGCAGCTGACACCCATATGTGCTGACCAAGTTGGCTGAATCAGCTGGGAACAGGTCCACCCCAGACGTTCCTACAACAGTGTAAAATGCCCCCCCCTTCTGATTCAGTTGGATATATACCCCCTGTATGATAGTAAAAAGAGTGTGTGTGCTGGAGTGTCGGAGTGTGTGTGAGACTGCAGGTCCGTGAGGAGGCTGTAGGTCATCCGGCAAGCCTCAGGAGAGAGAGTGACTCCACCCACTGAGAGGCAGAGAGTGGTCTTAAGGTAATGTGTGTGATCTTTGATACGTTTCCATGTCTGGATCCTGTAACAATTGCCAGTATTGCCAGTGTTAAAGTACTGTAGGATTTTATAAGTGGTGAATTACATAATTTGTTCTTAATAAACTCATGTTAAACTTCCCATCTGTATTAATTGTTGAATCCCCGTAGCTTCTGGATATAGTTGGCTAACAACTGTCCCATAAATAATGACAGTTAAAGAAAGAGGACTCTCAAAGTCAAGCAATGTTTCTTGCCTCGTTGCTTGTTATAGTCTCAATGGTCAAGGCAGATGGTGGCAGCGTCTTAATTTATGTATATAGTGGTGTTACAATATAGTGGTGTTACAAGCTGACCTATAGTGAGTAGGCCTGAGTACCTACTCACTGCTAGCTGAACAGACCCATTAGGTGAAAGGAAATGTGCCCAACCATTTTTTGTCCAGATCGGGATTCGAACGCAGAATTTTCAATTGTGCATCAAGAACAAACCTGACTGTACTACTGGGGCCCTTGATGTGTACAAGACTTCTTGCATTCTTGTAAAGCTACTAATATGCATAGTGTTTCTGGCAGGTTCTTAATCTAAATTTTTCCTGGAATACAACCTGCCAAACCATATAACAAGGTACCCATTCACTGCTGGGTGAACAGAGGTGTTCAGTTAAGGATTGGCACTTAGTCAATACTCCCCATTCAGGATACGCACCCAGGCCAAATCGCTCACAAAGTACGGGGCGAGTGTCTTATCATTGTGCCATGGGGACTGCTTTTCAGGTCCACACTTCTTTATGTAGGTTAAATAAGCATACTACGGGCCCCTGTATCAATCTTGAGAGAGAGAACTTTTTTTTTTTATCTAAAGAACAGTAGATACAGCTACAGCTTTAGCCCTTAGATTACAGACTCGGTAACCATAATTTACGTAGTTAGGAAGAAATCCACAAGGGCTGTGACGAGGATTCAAACCTGCATCCGGGAACATCCCAGACACTGCCTTAATTGACTGAGCTACGACAGGGTAGAAGGGTTGAAACCGAAGTTCTACTGAACTTATTGGATCTCGGAGCCTCTCCGAGGCACAAACCAGGATTTTACACCCCTCCCCCCTCTGCACCCGAGCTATGTCAATAGGCAGGTTTGAATCCTCGTCACGACCCTTGTGGATTTGTTCATTTGATGCATCACGTTAGTGTGATCTCTGTGTGTAAAGTTAGGAAGAATTTATTTTTATAAATAGGCTAATTGTTGTGAATATGCTGCTAAGAAGGGGTGGGTGACAGCATGAGAGAATCGGTGTTTGGGATGTTGCCATCAGTGTGTTATATGTGCCACATAAACGATATGAAAGTGGACAAATGTTCGTGTACATAATAATTTTGTGGAAGGTATTAACCTTTGCAGTCCAAGG